TCAACTTGTCTGGGCGTAGCGGCAGAAAGACGATACCTCTGTTGCTGTGTTCCTGATGGTTCAGTGACTCCTTGTATTGCTGCTTTGTAAATAGAAAAAAACCCGAAAAATTATTATACATGTAATCGTACCATAAATACCTCAAACTTATTTAAAGCTATTACTTATGACTGTTAATGACTGACCAAAATACCAGTTGTAATGTACAAATTGAATGTTGTACCGAGGCAGCTGTCTTCAAATTGTCAATCTCAGACATGTAGAAAGTAGAAACTACTTTATGCTTTTTCTGTTTAATAACTTGTATATATCTATATCTATATATATATATAGCTCGTGCATATGTTTATTTTTCATTGTGTATATAATGTGCAATTACACTATTGTATGAATGTACATTGTTTTATGTAGAGACATATTTTATTCACGTAAAGAAATGCATTAATAAATGTATCAAAGCCACATAACTTGTGTTCATTTTTCAAACTGCAAAGTCTTGAAATTAAAGTCTTTGAGTGACTTGGGGATTTTATAGCTTGAGAAATTGAGCTATAAATTTTAAAAAGCTTAATTTATCGAACTCAGTGTTTATGCATGAAGACAAAGATGGGCTAATTCAAGCTTTTTAAATGACTAACTAACTAACTGAAAAAATCAAAGTCCCTTTCAGATGAAGAAATAATCTTCACCACATACATTCAAACAATATCTAGTGGTCATGTGTTTATAATAATGCTTTTACTGTGTAGAGTAGTGGTTCCTAAACTTTTTAGCTTGTGATTCCTTAAAATGAAGATCTATCTACTTCATCGACTTCATGCATTTGAGCCTCAGTGTGGCCAAATTGACAGTGTCATTTGAAAGGATTTAAGAGACCTGAAAAAAAAAAAACAAGAATCTGCTTAATTCTTTCATCAAGTAATTTATGTCTAAAGCAAAATTCCAACAACCGCTTGAAGTATGTGAAAAAAATCGGCAGGTGCACTGAGAATTTCAATACCTATCAAACTGAAATCAGTTAGAAACTAGTGTGTATGCCTTGAATTAAGAAGGAACACAGTTTGAATATACCTTGACCACACTGATTTACATTGAAAATAAATCTGGTAATTACTCTGATTAAGCAAATAATAACTTTGTTCACAAATGTAGTTGATTAATTGTAGCTTTTCACTGAATTCTAATCTGCAGCACATTCTGGTATAATTATTAGACACACCGTAGTTGGATTATTTTATATTATGAGTCTCTTAGCAGGGCTGCAGGGTGGCGCAGTTGGTAGCACTGTTGCCTCGCAGCAAGAAGGTTGCCGGTTCACGTCCCGGTGGGGGCACCGGGATCTTTCTGCGTGGAGTTTGCATGTTCTCCCCGTGCAGCGTGGGTTCTCTCCGGGTTCTCCGGCTTCCTCCCACACAGTCCAAAAACATGTTGAGGTTAATTGGTGATTCTAAATTGTCCATAGGTGTGACTGTGAGTGTGTTTGGTTGTCTGTCTCTAAGTTTAGCCCTGCGATAGACTGGCGACCTGTCCAGGGTGTCCCCTGCCTTCGCCCTAAGGCTCCAGCCCCCCCGCAACCCTAGTGAGGATTAAGCGGTGTATAGATAATGGATGGATGGATTCTCTTAGCACGTCACTGTTAAAACATAAAGACAGGATTTCTACATTTCCATAACTATTGCTACTTCAACAGAGGCATAAGTAGACTGCAAGTTGTATTTAATGAAATGCAGAGGAGGGTAAGATATGCATGCCTGAGAAACCTTTTACAGGTACTGCAGCTGGGAACAAATGAGAGAGGATTATTCCATTAACAGTTGTTAGAAAACTAGTCTTAAATCACAGTCAAGGCCCTAGTGAGGATCGAACTCACGACCCCTGGTTTACAAGACCAGTGCTCTAACCACTGAGCTATAGAGCCCCATGTAACAAAGTTTTCATAACCAAGTTCTCATAGGACCATAAAAATTTAGGCACTCTCAATCTTCGATAGTATTTCATGTATAAGGTACTTTAAACTACTGTCCAGTTCTGCCTAATATCTTGGCCATAGCTTGGTGATAAATCCTCCTTTCATGTGTTACACTGTATTTCACATGTGTGAAAATGTAAAATGAAAACTACGCAATGTTTGTGGGCCTGATGTTTTAATATAAATCTCACCTTGTCTTAAACCTTATCTGTTACCCCTTGGTTCATAATCAGTGAGGGTCAATTTGAACCACACTCAACTGATCCTACAATCTCAAAATCATGTTGCACAATACCATAGTCTGCTGCAAGTGCATGCTGACAGGGTTCCTTGTGTTAAGAAAGTGAGTTATGAGGTTAGGAGCTTACACGTCACATTTGGAATGAAAAGTATAACATACCTAAATAAAGAAGGAAACAGAAAATAGAAACAAAGAGGAACAAGGAAAAGCAGATAATCTCTGGGTTTCAAAGTTCATCTGCTTAAACAACTCATAGAAAATAAGTTGAATAATGTAAGAAAAAATCTAGAAAAAATATGAACAAATAATCACCCTCACTCAAGCAGAACCTTATAACATCAGTTCAAAGACCCAAAACTGGATCAGTTCTTTACATCAACTTAAAAAAGAAAAAAAAAAGAAGTAAAAAGTAACACAATTTAAACACTATATTTACATATAATTTGAAATGCTTGCATGAATTTTTTTTTTATTCTATGATATTTTATACTCCCCTACAATAATTCAGAGCAAATTATTATTAAATATCTACTTACTTCTCACAGTTAAAGATCAAAACCTAAGTTACCATGTTTCTTCGCTTTCAATTCCTTTGTAAAAGAACTGCATCTGAGAGGGTTTCATAAAGGGCTGACGATGATTTACTCTTCTAGACTTCTCAGATGGTTTCATTTAAATAACTATTTGAGGTAAAAATAGGTCAAACTCTTCAGTATTAGTCATAAACCAACCATATAACCTAATCTTGTGACTCAAAAGGATGGCAGTCACCAATCCAACCAGCAACAAAAGGAAAATGTTACGAGATGCATCCGTAATGACATTCTGTTCATTTGATATATAAAAATACATCAGTCACAGTAGCCAGGTCTGCAGAATGAGTGAAACAATAAATACTCTGAGTACATTTTGCTGACAACACTTAAAGATTTTTAAGTTTTAAATGCAGGATTCACTCTTGAAACGGAATGAATTTATATTATGGATGTGATACTTTTACTTAAGTAAGCGACTGACTGCATCTTCTGCTCCAAAGTCAGTGTTAGTCTAAAGTACAAGCGAAGACAGTGGTGTCCTCCAATGCAGACAGCACTGTACAGACTTAAACTGACAGATTGAGCTTCTTACGTCCGTTGTCCTGACATCCCCTCCCTGGCACACACATCAGCCCACTCCGAGTTTCATCTAACTGTGACAACTCTCACATGACTACCATATGACCTAAAACCTCACGTGACCTCAGGCGACTTTCACACATGAACCAGCAGACAAGTTCAAGATGCCTCTGCTGTCAAGACAAGGCAAAACATCCCCATAATGAATAAATCAAGAGGGTAAAAAAACTTGTTTTCTAGTTTACACTTTCAGTGATCTTTTCCTAGAAGATCTGCTCCGACTTTTCTTCTGCGAAACAAACTTTAATTATATAAGTGACGCAAACAGCAATATTTATCTTCCAGAGCAGAGCGACCATTTAAGAGATGCAGATATGAATGTGAATAACCTAACTGTCTACTCAAATTCTAAGAGGCTGTAATTTCAAGAGGTTAGTTCATACAAATTGCAGGAAATTTGGTTTTAAATTAAATGTGGTGGTGTCTACCCATCGAGATAATTACATAAGATTACAATCATTTGGCAAACACGTCCACGCAAAGCAAATGTGCGTTCAGTGTGAACAGCACAGCTTTGGTGGATACGTTTTTTCCCCCCAGATTTGTACTCAGAGGTTCTTTCTACAAAACTTGTAAACACTGTTAACTGGGAAGTACATCACACAGAGTAAGTGGGTTGGTGTTACTGGAAAGAGTTGCAGCTGCTGCTCCGAGAAGCACAAACAGAATTCCTAGAGGCTCTTGTGAGGGGTGAACTGGTGACCTCTGATTCACAAGAGCAGCACTTTAACCACTGAGCTGCAGAGCCATGAATGATGTCAGCTTTCTGTTTAACATCCAGTAGGACTCATAATCTCACCCTTGGCCGCATACTGAAAATAACTTATCCTCATAACAAGAAAAGAGGACGAAATTAGTTCAAATTGCTTGTGCTGGATGATGAAAAAATACATTAAAATTATTAAATAAATGGCTCTATTGAAACAATATAAAGTAATATAATAATGTGCAAAGTGGTGAATATAGTTGCTCAGTGTTCCACAACTATAACATCAGCTGCTAGGGGGATAAAATGATGCATAAAGTGTCTAAATCTGGGTGAACTGACCCTTCAAAGTAACAGCAATATGAGTTAAGATGCCGGTACAATACAATGCAATACTGTACAATACTGCCGCCCAGTGGCCAAGAGCTGCATGCATCAACCTTTAGTTCAGTAAGGTATATTTGAGGGCCATTTTCCATTTGGCATTTTAAATAAACTCACATAAATTAAGGAGCAGTCTACAAATTATTCGACCTTCAACTGACTTGATGGCACACTAGTTTAAAAACGAATCACGTATAAAATGTGTCAATATTACAATTAAAAGGCTCCAACAGGATATCAGTTAAATACAACTGTATGCACAATATATACAAGTGGAAAGAAAATAAACGTAACCAAAGGCTACGATGTATTCTTTAAACTATTTGTGGAATTGGTAGGACAACAAATATCGAATCAATGACTGTAAATGTCTGAAAACAGTGTGTCATGTCATACTATTCGATAACAATACTGAGCCTCCCTTTGTATCGTGCACCGATCAGCCTGCTTGTCACACACAGGAAGAGATGAAACACACACACACACACACACACACACACACACACACACACACACACCGCACCCGCCACTTGTCTGCTTGTCATCATCAGCGGTGACAGGAAGCGTGTGCCGCCGCGCGTTCTTTTTCTTCTTCTTCATGTTAGATGCTTTATTTAAGAGGCTGCTGATGTTTTAAGCGCATCTTTCACCATCTGTAACTTCGTCTCGTTTCTTTCATTATCCTGCTACTTAATTAAGTTGTCGACTTTCAAAAGCTTCGACAAAAGATTTAACTTTGTCGGGGGTAGAAATCTGCATATACAGAGCTGGAGATGGCTTCTGGAGGTTTGGGGCTCACCGAGGGCCTGAGCCAAGACATCAGCCAGGAGGACTTAGACTTCTCTGACCTGTTTCTGTATAATCCACCTGGGGAGGATTTTCCTGTCGGCTGTGACAAAGGTCGGTACAATGTTTTTTTGTTTGTTTGTTTTTTATCTTAAGATAATGCCTCCTTATCCAAAAAAAAAAAAAAAAAAAAGACAGTCTTTGATTGTTTTGCTAGTGTTTTATCACTAAGGGGAGGATTTATTTGTGATATAGATGCTTTGGGAGATCCACAAGCACTTACTGTCAGATACTGATGTTATACACTACTGTAATCAGCCCTTCATTGTCCTAAAGGACGGGAGGTCAACTGGACCTTTCTTTCTATTTTAGTTACTAGAAAGAAACGTCCTGTCTTTTATGCAGTGAAGTTAAAACATGTTTTTGTTTATTGTTATAAGGATGTTGAAGGAGGATAGTTTCTCTGTGCTCTGCTAAAATATAACTTTAAGATATGTATGGAGGCCATGGGCAGGAATTTGTGGCATTATAACGACTTTGAAAAGCAATCATTGAATGCACATATAATTTACCCAAGTGGGATGTTGAAATGTGGAACCTCCAGCGTACGAGGAACCTCCAGTACGAGTGTAATTTTGAGAACTTTTTAGAAAGTAAATGTCCTGAGGAGAGGTGTAACTTTTCCAGTGGTTGTAGCAGTAGTAAAGTAGTCAGATATGTTTGACGTGCACTCAAATGAATCCTCTCGTTGATCTTTGACAGATGACCCTGGTGCTCTCCTTCAGAATGATGGCCAGCCTCCTCTGCTGGTGGTCAACCATCACACTGTGTATATCCCAACCTCCAACCAGCCTGCTTCCAGCCAGGACACCTCCTCTCGCAGCCCCTCCACAGACAACCTGTCCGGGGCTGTGTTTGACTCCTTGGGGTTGACATCAAGAGCAGGCATCATCCCTGCTCCCAGCCCCAGGATTGAGATCACTCCGTCAGGTGACTCTCTCAGCTCTCAGAACCTGGATCCAAGCCCTGGCTCCAAAGCCCTGGGAGCCTACAGGGAGTGTGTCAGCCCGGCCAGTAGTAACTCCTCCACCGGCTGGCCACCAGAGACATACTCTCCCTCTGCCTCACCGTGTGTCTCTCCTTCTATTGGAGCCAGCTGTGGCGTGGGGTTGACCGCTTTAGACCTCTGCCCAGGCCTGCAGGGCATCCACACTTCTTCTACCCACTCCTCCCCAGGAGCCTCGCCTCGCAACAGCATCACAGACGAGACCTTCCTCCAGCCACAACACCACAACACAACCACACCGCTTCCCCACCAACGTTCCCGCTCTGCCTCACCGCATGGAAAGCGCTCCTATGACCAGACCCACTCCTGTCAAGGGGGCACTCCGGTCAAGCAGCGCTCCCGGAGCCCCAGCCCCATCCCATCGCCCCATGAGCAGCAGGGGTCCTACTACCTTCAGCAACACCATCCCCAAGCTGAGTTTCAGCCCCAGGCTCAGACCGTGACCCCGGGCCTGGAGGAGATGCTGAGCAGCCTCAGCTCTGGTCTGCCCAGAACAGTGCCCACTGTAGGAGTGAGGGGTGCACACGGGCAGGTTCAGAGACAGGACTGTGGATATGGAGAGGGCTACGACTGGGCCATTGAGCAAGACAGAATGGGCAGGGCTGGACCTGATGTCAAAGCTGAGACCTTCTACATGCTCCCAGCTGTGTGGCCTGCTCCTCATTCAGTCCATCCTGGCGGACGGTCCACATTCAGGTATTTTGTTTGTCCTGTCTTATTATTTATAATTGCTAATAGGGTCAAATGTAAGCCCAAATCATGAAGTGCACCATTTAATTGGAAATGTGAAATAATATATGAGCAAACTTAAATGCTGTGGTATAAGGTTTTGCCATTTTTGAACTGAACTTTTTGTCTTTCATTACATTTTTCCTTTTTACTCCCTTTTGTCTCCCAATCTTTTCGCCAGTGGTCTCTCTGTGGATCCACTTCCCTCTTTAGAATGGCCTTTACTCAGCCAGTCTGGCCAGTACGAGCTGCTGATCCAACAACAGCCCAGATCCCACCACAGAGCTCACTATGAGACCGAGGGCAGCCGAGGAGCTGTCAAAACACCAAACGGAGGACATCCAGAGGTTCAGGTGTGAGGAAGGAAAGAGACAGAAAGGCAGAGCCCTTTCATGTCACATATTCACACAAGAGAAATGTACAAAGGGGAGCAAGAGGTTGTAAATGTGGGGTGGTATTTCCTGGATAAAGTTGTGTTTGTTTAAAGCTGACAGCTATGCAAATGAAAGTGCCTCGCATAACGATCACACCACTACTTCCACATCGTTAGTTACTGAGGCATGTGTTGTTTCACTCTGCTAATAAACATACAAACAGCTACAAATCAGGTGTAGTGACATCACATACAAATATTGACACGTGCTCTGCTTTATTTGCTGCTCTCTTGAGTTAAATAATAAGCCTCACTGTTGGCATTCCTGCCCCTGTTATACAATTGAACTATGCAAAGCAGTGTTCTTGCTTTGCCAGTTAGATAGTGACCTGTGAAATCACCCCCACAGTACAATGTAAATTCGTTCTCAAGAGTCATGCATTTTAATGGTCTTACGGTTAATTTAATTCAGCATGAAACATGCATTTAAGTACCTCCGTTGCCCTCATCAGCTCCGTGGATACCAAGGCACAGCTCCACTGGGGCTGCAGGTATTCATTGGGACGGCCGACGAGAGGATGCTGAAACCCCACGCCTTTTACCAGGTCCATCGCATCACCGGGAAGACTGTCACCACACCCAGCATGGAGAGGATGATCAATGGGACCAAAGTGTTGGAGATCCCTTTGGAGCCAAAGAACCACATGAGAGTAGTGTGAGTCAAACAAAAAGGCTGAGGCTGTGTGGGAAATACACATTTATTAAAAGAGACGCAGATAAATCACAAATGCATGAGTCAACATATCACCACATGCCACTTGACTGTGACCTCATTGAAGCAATCTGCAAACAGCACTTTGCAGTCTTTGCACTTCATCTTGCAGAGTTACAGATGCAGAGATAAAGTAACTTTACTTGTTAGTGCAATGTGTTTTATTTCCACTATGCTATGCTTTTTTTTCTTTTTATACTCAGCCATGAAAGCTATGGCTGCTCAAGGCAGCCATGAGGTTATCATCTTTTTACACTTCCAACACGTTGCCGTTGCTACTGACGGAAACAAAAAATGCATCATTTCCTGTGTGCCAGAGAGGTTTTTTTTTCCAAGACAGTGTTTGCAGCAGCAAACAGCAATGGTTTGCTGAAAGTGACGTATGAGTCAGCGAAAAACAGCAGCAAAGCAATATTTTTTTTGTATCACAATGTCAGAAATCACTACTCTGAACAAAACTATCTTATAACTGACTAATCGCTAGAAACAGAGACAGATGACATCGGTTAACAACAGACAGACTGGGATTTTGTGTGAACAGAGACAGTCTTGCTGGAAATGTTGAGGCCAGACAATGTGACAACATTCATAAACAGAAAACCTTGTCATCGTTTCAGGACCCGCTTTATTGCATATGTTTTTTTCTTATATTGCACAGGATTGACTGTGTAGGGATCCTGAAACTGAGGAATGCCGACATCGAACTAAGGAATGGCGAGACAGATATTGGACGAAAAAACACGCGTGTACGCTTGGTGTTTCGTGTCCACATCCCTCAACCTGGAGGGGCACTTGTGTCTCTTCAAGTGGCTTCTCATCCCATCGAATGCTGTAAGAAGCGTCTATTTCTTGATGAGCTGAATAACTCTTTCTATTGGGTCATGACATCCAGTGTTGTAGACCTTGCAGCAACATTTTTTTTTGCTACAGCCTTTCTTGGCAGTAGTTTATGATGCCTGATGTTATCTGATGTTAGATATATATTGCTGTGTACCTGATATTACTGAGTGAGTTTTCTCACTTTGTGAATCTTCTCTCAGCACAAGTTACAAAGGCTTGATTCAATGTTAATACTCTTAAGGCAGCATTGGTCAATGGTGCAAATTTGTAGCTAACAATGTTCCCATTAGATTTATCCTCACTCCTCTGTGGTCCTTCATACATCTGTGCCTTCATGTTTCTACAGCTCAGCGCTCAGCTCAGGAGCTGCCTGCTGTTGAGAGGCAAGACCTGGACCGATGCTCTGTACATGGTGGTAAACAAATGGTCCTGACTGGACAGAATTTCACATCTGACTCCAAGGTGATATTTTCAGAGAAGAGGCAAGGTATGGTGCTATTTTTAAAACAGTAAATATCACTCTGTAAGATGATGGATCTTTGAAATTCTAGCCTCTAGAGGTTCTAAAGATGAGCCACAACATAAAATACTTTGTACTTTCAACAATTGTTTGATATTTTGGGAAAGTGTGGTTATTCACCTTTCCTCCAAACACAATTGATGTTTTTCAAGTCTGTGCAATGAATACAAAGCTATTACCGCAGTCAGTTACCATAGTTTGGCACAGAGACAAGCAACAGGGGAAAGTGGCTGACCTTTATCTGTCATAAGGTAACAAAATCCACCTACCAGCACCACTAACTCGGTAATGAAATTCTTGACTGGTCACAGACTACAAAAGGTCACTGCTTCTGGTCAACAACTAGTCATATGCATGAATCTTTTAAAAACATGAAGTATTGATATTATTTTTATGAGATAAAAAAATGTCAATCAGTGAATAAAGATGCTGTATATGCATTTTTTTGTCACTAGACAGAACTGGGCTAGTTAACAATCTCTGCCAACCAGCACACCTAAAGCACACTCCAAAAATAAATAAATAAATGAATGAATGAATAAATAAATAAATAAATAAATGAACAGTTAAATCAGAATGGCTTTATTCAATTCAGTTCAATTTTATTTGTATAGCACAGTTTACAACACATGTTATCACACAGCGCTTAACAAAGTAAGGTATAGACTTTACAAATCTAAAATATAAGTATTTTGGGGGTTGGTAAGGCCAGTGGCTGGAGGTCAGACAGACAGACAGACAGAAAGACAGATAGAGCATAACCTTAAAAGTAGAGAGGATGTCTGCTTCCCGAACCCAAACACAGAGCTGATTCCACAAGAGAGGAGCCTGATAACTGAAGGCTCTGCCTCCCATTCTACTTCTGGAAACTCTAGCAATCACAGCTAGACCTGCAGTCTGAGAGTGAAGGGCTCTGTTAGGGTGATACGGTACAGAAGGTTTTTAAGGTAAAATGGAGCTTGGTCATTGAGGGTTTTATATGTTAAAAGCAGGATTTTAAATTTTATCCTTGATTTTACAGGGAGCCAATGAAGAGAAGCTAATACATGGGAAATATAATCCTTCTTACTGGTTCCTGTCAGAACCCTGGCTGCAGCATTTTGGATCAGCCGAAGGTTTTTGAGAGAGTTATTGGGACATCCTGATAATAAGGAATTACAATAGTCCAGTCTACAAGTTATAAATGCATGGACTAGTTTCTCAGGATATTCCTGACTTTTGCAATGTTACGTAAATGAAAAAAGGCTGTCCTACAAACTTGTTTTATATGGCTATTGAATGACATGTTCTGGTCAAAAGTAACTCCAAGGTGCTTTACAGTAGAACTGGAGGCCAAGGCAATGTCATCTAGAGTAGCTATCTGGCTCGATATTGTGTTTCTGAGGTGTTTAGGGTTAAATACAATAACCTCAGTTTTGTCTGAATTTAAATGAAAGAAATTACAGGTCATCCAGGCCTTTATGTCCTTCAGGCATGTCTGGAGTCTGACCAACTGATTGGTTTCATTTGGCTTTATAGATAAATATTTCTGATCTGGGTACATACAGCATAGTTAATGGTCTTCATGTGAAGCTAACCAGCGACTGACAATGGCTTCGTATTTACCATCTAAACATGAAAAGTGTCACCAATCATGTGATTTTTATCTGTGTATATTTAGATTCCAACTGGTTTTTATGATTCAAATGGACTAATAATTGCTTTTGTGGCCTCTCAATATCCTGCTCAAGTATGTCCACCCACACAAATAGTATTTATATTTTTAGATGATTTGCAACTCATCGGGGGAACATCAGCTTTCAGTGACGCACAACTTCCTCCAGCCTGCACTTTTAACTTCGACAAAAAGAACCACTGGTTCAACTGTTACTGTTGTTCTGCCTGTGACAACTTTTATTTATTTCTAAATGGAAATTTCTCACCTTGTTACTGCTCCGCCTGCCCACACAGAATTGTTGGGTTGCATGGTTTGAGAGCAGGATGGGTATAGTTGACTGCATGTGAAGGCTCCCTGTTGCTTGCTGGGGTTTTATGCAACAGGATGTGGTTAGACAGACTGATAAAGATTCAGACCCAGAGCAGAGGCTTTGTATTTTTTTTTCACTGCGTGGGTAGAAAACAGAAACAGCAGGTAAAAACTGACATGGGATTGAAACACTAAACCAGACATAAAAGAGAAGTCTGTTTTCCACTGTGAGCCGATATACTCACACTGTACTGAGAATTAGAGACATGATTATTGTAATCTGATTTCTTGTAAACCCACGTGCTTTTATACAATTAGACTTTTACAGATTTTTGTATTCATTTTTTTGTGCATAACATTATTTGACTCTTTGGAAAATGGTTAAGAAGCTTTCTATTGTTCATATAACTGCCTGCTAAATATGAGGCTCGGCTACAGTGAGCAGCTGATGAGTCGAACTTATAGACTGGAAGCATATCAAAACAGCTAACCTGGATCAGTAAAATGGTATTTAAATCTACCCACTGATGCCTCTAAAACTAAGCAATAGTCCAGCGTATAACTACAACACATCTCACATTAAATGAGATATAACAGGTTAACTACTGAGCCTTACTGGAGCTGCACTAATACCTGCACACTGTGTTCACTCTGCTTTCAGATGGACAGCAAATCTGGGAGGTGGAGGCCACTGTGGACAGAGACAAAACCCAAGCTGTAAGTTAACTTCCTCATATCTGTAGTGACCCTTGCATTCATTTTACATCGCTCATAATATGCACATTTTTCAGATACTGCATATTCACGTCAATGTTGTCTGGTACTGTTACACACTTAAGACTCACATCAAAACATAAAGCAAACATAAAAGCTATGACCCAGCTTTTCCAGCTGTCTCAATATGCTAATCAAATATCATCATATTCAAAGAATTGTATTTCTGATTCAGATATTGATCACAAATACACAAAGGAGAGATTTGTGGCAGCCTCCGTCTCTCTGTTTCAACATGAATGTGTGACTAAATATTTTATTTCGCTGCTGTGTCACTAGAACATGCTGTTTGTTGAGGTTCCTCCATATCAAGACCGGACCATTTCCCAGCCGGCCAAAGTCAACTTCTACGTCATCAATGGGAAGAAGAAACGCAGTCAGCCTCAGCACTTCATCTACACTCCTGTGAAAGGTGTATATCAGTTAGCCATCTTAACTCGGTCATTACAGGAGAAACATGTGTACCTTGAATTCTTGAGAAATGGGAAGGTGACTAAAAGGTCAATAGTTCCTAATATGAGCTTAGCAGGGAAAGTCAGGCCTGCGAGGTAATACTGTTTGAACCCAAAGCTGAAAGATGTGATGAACCAAACTCAACCCTGCACCTTATTATCTCATTAATGTTAGAAAAGGACAACAGAAAAAAACAAAGTGAATGCTAAAATGGTTATGATGTTGCTAAAAAAAAACTGTGTGCTAGGTCAGCCATCTCTGATTAAGTCAGAGTCAGAGAATGCAGGAAATTGCAACATTTTAGCCAGATTAAATCTGATAGCTCGACTAATATTTCAACCTGAAAACAGCGTAACCCTTTTCAAGCTTAATATTTTACAAACCTGTTTTGTTGTTTTACAAGAAATCTGTTCAGGAACTCAGAAATCAGTCAGTCAGTTGTTGTTGGCAGAAAACTGCAGCCACAACACAAATTGTGTAGGTGTGGCAAATCTCACTTTTTCTCAAGAGGAAAATATGTCACTCTGCTCCTGTTTTCACTAATGCCTTAACACCTACATGATATACCCACAGATGACATGCTAACGTACTGTTTGGCAGATTTTAAAGGGCATTCCAAGAAATTCAGAACATTACTAGTTTAGGTAGAAAAACACACACTGCTTGAGGCATATTGGGTACGTCAAAATGACAACACATTGTTTCACCATGAACTGTATTGGTGGAGTTTTTCCTATCAGCTTAGACCCACTGACACCCTGTTCATTGGTGCACCACTTTGACCCAGACTGGAAAAATCTGAAATACTGAATAGATTGACATGAAATGTGACACATACATTCATTATCAACAGAGCTCCTAAAGATTTTGGTGATGATCTGACTTTTCCTGTGGTTCCACAAGCAGGTCAAATTTTGTATATGCATTCAGTGAAACTTAACATCTACAAGATATATTGGTACACAATTTAGTTTTTGTAATTTTGACCACATTTTTGTTATATAATCACGGTGTCTAGAAAACTATTTCTAATAACATTGCTTTTCAGTTATCCATCACTGTAGTTTATGATACAGTTCTCTGATGATAGACTGATAGTATTGTCTTCCAATGTCAAAAATATTTGTTCTTGTTTTTTTAGCCATCAAAGCTGAGCCTCTGGATGACTATCAGTTGACTTCATATGGCTACTTAGACAATCAGCCTCTGTCTGGCATGTCAATGAAGTCACTCTACCATCACCTGGAACACGACAACAACCTTCAAGCCTTGAATGTTTCCTCAACCCTGTACCATCTAACTACTGTAGACCCCAGAGCCCATGTGTTAACCGATCCACTGGACGACCAACCAGTCTATTTCCAGTCCAGAGCTCTGATCAACAACCCAGTGCTGTACCACACTGCCAACCAACATTACAGCAACTGCAGCCCCGCCCTGCTCGGTGGTTCCCCAATGGTTTCCCATCCTGCCTCCGCTCCCAGCCAGTGTGTGAGTGCCAGGACCCCTGTTGGCAAACTGGGCGAAGGCGTTCAGGTCGGTGATTCATTCGAGGTTTGTTTGGTGTCAAGACATCAGGGATTTGTGCAGACAGATCTGCCACTTGGAAAGTCGCCACCGTCAAGATACATTCAAGGTCAAATCCAGGGGAAGGCCGGTAACCGGGTGGAGGCAGGTGGGCAGCCTCTGACCCAGATCGGCTCTGCTAGAGGGAACCATGAGGAACGAGCTCCAGAGAGGATCACGGTCAAACAGGAGAACCTCAGCTATGCCTACCTGGAGGATGGTGAGTCTTATCATGTTTTTGTACAGGGGTCAGTATTTTTCAGATGGCGTGTTGGACAGATTATTGAAAATGTGAATCCCCCTCACACCTTTCCTGCATCAGAAATGGGGGGGAGCTGGCAATATTTGTAGCCTGCGTTCAAGCATGTTCACATAATGTAGAGACTGAAAAACTAATTTTGTTTCATATCATGTCTACAGACAAGACAGCCACACTTCGGGGAGTGACTGATAAAACACGCACGCACGCACACACTCACTAATATATTGTCATTTAGAAGATAATCACATCTCACTCCTCTCCATAGCAGCATGCTTTTTGCCTCACCTTTAAGTGTAATCTTTCACATATAAATATGCCTCAGACACATTAGACAAACACACTGGATAAAGTTTTACCTATACCTTGGTCATTTAAGAGCAAGTTTACACATTTTGGAGTTTGTCTTCTCTTTACCATCTCTTCTTAATACACTTAAACTGTTTAAGATAATGGACAGAATCCAGTCCAAAAGGCAGTGCAGTGCCAGTGCAAAAATGTATTCAAACATATTTATTTTTTCTCCCACTATAAAAAGTGCAGAAGGAAAGGATCTATTGATGGTGATTATGACCAAGACAAATGCTCATATGAGTGTCTGATTATTAGTAAAGACGGACTTAATCAAGAGAGTAAAAAATAATAGTTAAAATAAGGGTCTAAATCTTCTCTGTGTCTTTTCTAGTGGATCAAATCTTTTCTCTTTTTTTCAGGGTTCAGATGGTAGGGTTTTAAAAAGTGTTGATCACAAGATAAGAGTAATACTCTAATAGGATATTGATTATGTCATCAAAAAAGACAGAGTACACTAATAAAAAAAACACTGTATAACTTTGAGGTGATATACTGAGGCCTGTTGGATGGGTGTTTCCAGTCTGCAGTGCATACTAGCACACTGCAACTGTACTGCTTGCAAATCCTGCCTTGTGGTTTTCTGTAGGGCCTTTCTATCCACTCTCCTGTCTGTTTCATTCTTACTCTCACTTACTCTCTCACTCTCTCTCTCTCACACACACTCATGCAAAAAAAAAAAACCCTCACTTTCCAAAGCTTCATGAGCACACTCAGTCTCATTTGAATTATACAGCTTGCTTGTAATTTCTGATGTTTGACGGTAATAAATGAGTAAGAAGCGACACCACTTTGAATCAAAAGAACGTGGGATGTCCATGTTTGCTGTGAGAGAAAGTTTCTGTTTACACCTAGGTGATGAAGGACAGAAGCAGGAAGTGTACTGTGTAGGCAAATATATGCAGACACACCTGTGGTATAAGCAGCATGTCCTTTGTTCTGGTGTCTGACACAGACTGGGGCAATAGTAAAAGTGTAGGTAACTACTGATGAGCGTCATAAACAAATTAACCAAAATACAATGCTGTGTTCATGTTACTATTACTCTTTGTCATTATATTTAATGTTAATAACTGTTTTTATTCTTTCCGTCAAAGATAAACGTTTAACAATTGTGCTAATCTGGTTCTTATTTGATCTAGAAACTACTGTAAATAAACATGTAGCTGCAATACTTCATCCGTGCTGACATTGCATGTCATCACTGGACTGATTTCTGTTTGAAATTAGGTCAGTTCACAGGGGGTCCTGGTGACTGAGGTCTGTCAGGCGCCAACCACAAACCTCAACACCCCTGGTTTAAGTCTGGTGGAGGACCTTTGTTGCATTTCCCACCTCTCTCCCCCTTCATTTCCTGTCTTTTCTCGACTGAAAGATTTTAAAATACTCCAATACATCTGGCTTTGGCGACTCCTACTGGCAGTACCAAATAAATCATAATCCCCTGACCTTTAACAAGTAGATGAGATTAAGCAACACCAGTTGTAACTGGAACAACCTCTTTCAATTTTACTTACATGCCATCAGATTTTTTTAAAATCTGTACAAAGGAGCTTTAAATATAAAGTTAATATAAATCAAACATAACCTTTAGGAATACAAGATTAACTCCTTTAAAATGTCACCTGAAATAAGTATCTCATCTTGCCTTATTAAATTTTGTTGTGAACATTTAAGTTACTCATTCTTATTTTCTGTTTTCCAGTGAATGACATCATAAGACGGGACATGAAAGGCCACAGTGGAGAGTGATCCTGCAGCCGCCCTGATGTCCATCACAGATGAAAGTTTAAGCAGCAAGCATAGTCTTGAGACACCAGGAGCTATAAACATAAAAACCTGATTAAGTGGGAGGAATCTTGTACTTGTAAGAATTAGTGGCAGGCATTTTTGGCAAACAGTACGATCCAATTATTGGCTCATGTTAAATTTATTTCAGGATTACGTCATGTTTCTGTAGAAGGGGTGATGCTTCACTGGGCAGTCTTCTCTGCCAAATGTCACTCCTTATTTCACTCATCAACATTTTACATTAAAAAATGGGTCAGCTCTCTGTTAGTCTTTATGCTAGCTGTACATTTTAGCCTTTCAAAGAAAGCAGTTAGCCTGTCATACCTATAATTGAGCATCTATTGTCTTCACTTTAACCTGTTTGACTTCTCTTTGTTTATATAATTGTACAATTACTCTTAAAAAAATGTAGAAATTATTTTATATTAAATAAATTCTGTTTATATGAATGAATGAGTTTGAGTATTAATTATGTGCAGGAATGGCGTAAAGACAAAATTCAATATTCTCAATTTGCACACTTAAAATGCAACTGGTTATTTTACACGTTACAACTGCCTTTGTTTGCCTTGTCTTTGAAGCAATACTTAATATGTAGCATACTTCTTTTAATATTGGATGAAGTTTATCTGATACTGTTTACCATACCGGGTTGCAAGCTGGCGTGGTGGTTAGCATCGTTGCCTCGCAGCAAGAAGGTCGCCGGTTCACGTACTGGTGAGGACACCTGGGATCTTTCTGCGTGGAGTTTGCATGTTTTCCCCATACAGCGTGGGTTCTCTCCGGGTTCTCTGGCATCCTTACACAAGTTCAAAAACATAGTGAGGTTAATTGGTGATTCTAAATTGTCCATAGGTGTGAATGTGAGTGTGCTTGGTTGTCTGTCCCTATAAGTGTGGCCCTGTGATAGACTGGTTACCTGTCCAGGGTGTCCCCTGCCTTTGCCCTAAGTCAGCTGGGATAGGCTCCAGCCTCCCGGAACCCCAGTGAGGATTAAGCAGTGTATAGATAATGGATAGATGGATGTTGACTGTACACATACTTAAATTTGTACTTTTTTACTTTCACTTAGTTGGAAAAACACAAAGTCCAAAGGAAACGTTTTTGTGGAGTTTCTAAATTTTATAAGAATTTCACCCTACTATGGGAAGTATTCTGATTTTGCATGTCTTGCAAATTGCAAAAACTATATAAATAGAACTGAATGGAATAAGTTAAATTGAAAAAACGGAGGTGGAAATTATTTCACATCGCTTTATTTAAGAGCAAGAAAATCATATCTTAATATATAAATTTACATTCGTAAAAAGTAAACTCATTCTAATTGTTGATTTAATTTTTTAATTTTTAGGTTAAATTACTTGTGCCTTAATTGCTAAGCTCAGATAGATAGATAGATAGATAGATAGATAGATAGAAAGATAGATAGATAGATAGTCATCCTCAAATTTATTCATATCCTCCCATTAAAGAAGGAAAAAAACAGCTGTCACTGAAATGAATTGAAATTCCATCAATCCATCCATTATCTATACACTGCTTAATCCTCACTAGGGTCACGGGGGCGGCTGGAGCCTATCCCTGACCCTGGACAGGTCACCAGTCTATCACAGGGCTACACTTAGAGACAGACAACCAAGAACACTCACATTCACAGTTATGGACAATTTAGAATCACCAAGTAACCTCAACATGTTTTTTGGAAATTCTGGGAGGAAGCCGGAGAACCCGGAGAGAACCCACGCTGCATGGGGGGAACATGCAAACTCCACGAAGACAGATCCCGGGTGTCCTCTTGCTGCGAGGCAACGATGCCAACCACCGTATCACCTTGCAGCCCTAAGTTAAAATTGAGAAAAGTAATAGTAAATAAAAATGTAATGAAAATCATGACGTTGCTTTTGAATTGTGGTTCAACAGAAGTATATATTTTAAAACAACAACAACAACAAAAAACAAGCAAACAAGCATGATGGAACCCATAAACTAATATTTTGTTGAACAACCCTTTGAGGCAATCACTGCAATCAAGTGTTTTCTGTAACTCTCAATCAGACTTCTGCACCTGTTGACAGGTATTTTGATTTTGGCCCACTGCTCATCAGCAACTGCTTTTATTATTATTATTATTATTATTATTATTATTATTTTCAACCACATTTATAAAGCAATGTCTTATTTCACTAAATTGTAGTTTCGCAAATTTTAAGTTTGTTTTATTTTTCTTTTCTTTTTTTTAAAAACTCTTTTCAGTTTCTGGTTATTTGAATGACTTTTGTAAATTCTGCATTTTCTTTCATGGACGGGTATGAATACATTTGAGGACGACTGTAGATAAAAGTCGTAAACAATGACGAGGTAATGAGACTTACTATATTTTTCTTTTTCCCGGCGGCAGCAAAATGAACAGTGGCTTAAAACCAAGTACAGCAGTTTTATGTAATGTAAACCTTTCTCTGAAAATACCGAATTCAGGTAGACTGTTCTGTGTTTCTCAGTAAAATGGCGCCAACTCAACCGTTTGGGGGCGACATTTTCAAACCAATCATCTCCCGGAGCCAAAACACGGCGCAGGATTATGACGTAGCATCCGATTTATTTTCTCCCCTTTGCAAACTAAATTAGCCTTTTTCCCCCCCTCCACCTATTGGTGCTGTTTCACGTTTTTTACTTGTTTTTTTCTATGTTGACTTCGACGTTTTCATTCCTCTAGCTGTAAAGACGAGTGAAGTGCTTCTTCCACTGGTAAGGTTTTCTTCCACATACGCGACGCTCATTGTATAACTGTATGTCATTTGTGTGTAGCTACAAAGCTTCTCTACGTTATCGGATCTGTAGCTGTGCTGTGGATGAGTCCTAACTGGGTCTGTTCACTATACAACTTTACAGCAAGAGTTGTTTTTATACCTGCGTCATTTTGTGAGAACATAATACAGAATTTGTTGTCTTCTACTGTTTATAATGTGGGTGGGACTGTAGTTACTTTTAGCTTCGTTAGCTTCTTTGATTTGTCTGGGACCCAATGAACCTACCTCTGTCACCCACACATACACCACTTACTTTGAGTCACTTATATATCCGTGCCTCTGTTTATTGCACAAGTAGGTCACTGAAGGAAGACCAAACAGAGCAGAATCATGTCTGCAGAACTGGACCTGTCCCCTCCAGAGGTTCCTGAACCCACTTTGCTAGAAAGCATTCTGCGCTATGGGTTGTTTCTTGGTGCTATCTTCCAGCTCATCTGTATTCTGGCTGTCATCTTCCCCACATCCAAGGGCCACGAACAGGTAGGCAGACACCAAGGTATATGAGGTGTCACAGAAAGCAACAGGCAAGGCTTAGGGGTATTTTACATTTCAGGTAAAGTGAGGGGACACACAAATCGATTGGAAAACAGACTTTGACACAACAAGGGCAGTGACCAAAACATCACTGTGCACTTCTGATGAGTGTTTTTTTTTTTTTTTCTTTCGTGATAACAGAATGTATATGTTAAGCTATCATGCGAGATAAAACACTACCAGAGAGAACAATTATTACTTGAGTGTCCCTCTTGATTTACCTATTTTTGCATATATTTTATTAATGAGATTTTTTGAATTGTTGTTTTTACTGGAGAGCTTTAAAGAGCAAGAAATAATGGAGAGAAGTTGAGGTGATTGATATGATATGGCACAACACCACATCTACATTCTTCCCATGTCAACTGCCTGAGCCACCGGGGCCAATGTTATCAATTTACCTTGTTAAAAGACTAAATTGGCAATTTGTTTTCACATAGTTATTGAAAATGAAATGCTGAAAAAAAAATCTAGGATGTTGGCCACAATTTGCAAGTATCTCATTTATTCAGTCACAATTAAGGGCTTAGATGTGATCAAAGAAGGTTCCCACACCCTTCTGACTTTTTTTTTTGAAGTAATTTGATTGCTACTTATTTCTTTTCAGCATCACTATGAGTTTGAGTTGATTGTAATTCAGTGTAACCATAAAAGAAAAAAACATTTCTGGAAGGTTACCCAATCTAATTTTTCACAGCAAATGACAAAATATCAACACTTGTACATTTGTTTCTTTAAAAAAATACCTAAAGCCTGTTCAGTTTTTCAAGTCAAACATTTCTCGGGCCTTGGATCACTGACCTAATTTAGACTTGTTCAGCATTACTCCAACTTAGGGTGATCTATATTTGGCTCAAGAAGAGATGGTACTTCTTAAGACAAGTTCATTTAATAGGCCACCAGTCTTTAGTCAGTGCATATAATGGAAATGTATTTATCTTCTGCTGTCACAGAAGAATTCAATTTCTTGTTGTGTCATGAGTTCCAGGGGACACAATCCTCTGCTTTGCAGCAACATGTCATACCAAAATCATGCAGTTAGTAACATTTCTGGTGTGGCACAACTGATGATAACAGTATATTAAATAACTGGTTTAATTGTTTTGTTTTTTTTAGTTTTGCTTGACAGATCTAAAGGATCTACAAAAACACAGATTTGTACAACAAATTCAGTCTTTCAGAAATTCAGAGAAACCTGATGTAACTTAACAAGTGGAGTGTAGAATATCTTATTTTTGAAAGCCTCTGACAATAGCGCTACCAAGGGCTACTCTCACAATCTCCATACTAACAACTGTCAGGAGAGATTATTTATAGACAAGAGCAATTAAATCCACTCTCTAATTATTCTATTTTCAGGCATTGTTATCAGATGCAGTGATTACTCTCCACAGTATGTCGCCATTTCATCTTTCACAGCAGCCTGCTGCTGTTCTCCTCTGCCAGAACAATAGGAAAGATTGCACTCTCAGAAACAGTGCTGACAGAAAGGAAGTGCTGAAACGTGTCAGAGTTTCTTTTGTTTGGTGTGTATGCATTGGGGAATTTCATTCAGCTGTCTGTTTAATTGAGATAATTTCACACAGAGTGAGCCATAAGGAAAACTGTAAACTGAAAAATAGCATTATAAAAGTGTATATTAATTGTTCACAGTTCAGTGTTGATTTATCCATGTGCATACAATATTGTAAAAAAATATTATAATAAATAAATACTGTTTCATGACAAGTTTTTTGTGGAAAATAAAAGGTTGGCAAGTACTGTGTTCGTGTTGCCAGCAAAATCACTATCCAAATATATCTCCCTGTCACACTTGCCTCAATGTGGTTAGCAGTCATGTAGTTTCACACCATATTTTAATACCCCAGAGCCTCTCCGTTGAATTGCAGTGTGCTGAATGTTTCCTGTGTTTGTTCTACAGGAGGAGACCGAGTCCACTGATGGCAAGTCTGCTGAACAGATGAAGAAACCTAAAGGACCAACACCTCAGATTCGACAGAAACCAAAGAAAGAGAGCAAGAAGAAGCGATAAATAGCTTTGTGCGTCAGTGTGTGTGTGTGTGTGTGTGACTTGATTTTGCGAATGGGTGTGCTTGGTCATTGCCAATATTGGATTATGGAAGTGAGCATTTTAGTTATCACTACAAGTATATAAAAACACTGACGTCATATTATGTCTATAAAAACTGATACATGTTGAATTGGAGACTCTTCAGAATGACCTTTAGCTGTGTCCTATTTACATTCAACATGGAAGTACAAAAAGCAAATTGTTGCGTATGCTGACTGTTTATGCAGCTACATATTTCATTGGGTATGTTTACATTTCCATTTTTTTTTTATAATTGAATATCATTGAGTGAATTGTATTGACATTACAACAGACAAATAAAACATGTAGTCATCCACCTTAATTGTTCACAGTTGAGTTTGGTTTAGATGAGTCACAGTAACATTAAACCTACAGTATAAAGCTATGATTTTATGGCACTAGAATAGCCTGTTTCAAGGCAAGAAAAGCTTATTTGATAGTGTTTTATCTCTTTTGTTAACACTTGTCACAAGAGTCCAAAGTGAAAAGATAAAGGTAATTAGGACACCAAATAAGTCGGTCATAGGTTCACCTATTACTCACAAAACAGAAGTCCTACTTAAATGTTTGTTTCACAAAAGGAAAAATGTAGCTTATTCAATATAGAATGTTTAAACTGCAATAATGGCAAGGCTCTTGCTTGAAGATTGCACCTGGAATTGATAGAATTAAAAAGAAAAAAAAGATTTGGGTCAACTGGTTAGTTTTGTCACATGCATATTTACATTGCCCCAAATGTACATCTTGGCATTTTATCTGAGCAATAATATTAAGTATCTCTTATACAAATGTTCCTAATATAAACCATTAACAAACCATTGACGTCATTATTTCCCTGAAATCAGTTGTGATCATAGACTCTATAATTATTATAACTAATAACTTTATTTATATAGCACCTTTCAAAAACAGAGTTTACAAAGTGCTTTACAGACAGGGCAAAGAAAAAAGGAGGATACTCAGACCATAGAGACTTACAAACTAAATCATTACAACAGCATCAAATAAACATTTTTTTAAAAAGCACCAAAAATGCCATAACAAATTAAGGAAAAAAGAACAAAAGAAAATAAAGGGGTAAAACCATTAAAAAAAACAGGAGTATATATATATATAGATAAAAAGTAAAGGGTAATAGTGAATAAAATGAACAAATAAAAAAGACAAAACTCTTAAAATCAAGTCTTTAAAATGAGTTTTAAAAAAGTGATTTGAAAGGAATACAGTCTGTGGCTTTGGTTGCCTGAAAAACAACAAAAAATAAATGTTTGAAAAACCACCAGAACTTGTCAGAGGATGCGAAACGGCCACGTTTTAATATTAATGTGCCAGATGAAAGTTGCCGCAAGGAACTTTCCGCTCGTAATATAAGTCAAGTGTGTCGCTTAGCAACCAGTGTGGCTAGCCGGAGCGAGCAGTGAAGCTAACCGGAGCAGGGACACATTTCAACGTACTGAACGTGTGTGTCGTGTCGCGCTGCTTTTACTACAATAAAGCATCTAAGTCGTGACTACTAAAGATTTTTAGAACAGCTAACCTGAGGTGTTGTCGTGCCTGCCAACGCCTCAGCGAATTTGACCATTACGCAACGGCGACGTGAATCCTGCCGACGCCGCCGTTGCTGCGTAAAGTGCGTAAAAATCCAGCCTCATCATATTTGCGCTCTCGTGTTTCGTCAGTGATGCACTATCTCGTGCTCTTCCCCCTACGAGGCATGTCTTCTCCTCCACACCGTACCACTCCCGCTCCGTCGCATGAATTCACCGCGCCGTCAGCTCTCCCCAGCTGAACAGTTTTGGTGTTTGGTCCGGCCCACCGCAGCCGCCCGGCAGCTGTGCCCTCTGCTCCACAAGGCAAGTCCCCGTCATGACCTCCTCCTCCTCCTCCTCCTGCGATTCTGCCGAAAATCGCTAAATGGGATTCGTGGCTGGCCCGAGGTTTCCACAGCAACTGGCCATCCGCTTCCATTATTTTTCTAATGAGGACAGCCGCACGGATCTAACACGGTTCCTCGCTGCGCGTCTCTGATTTTTGGGCTGAATCTCAAGACGCGTAAAAGGTGAGTTAATTAGAGCTAAGTGGCGTTTTATTGCGAGGATTTATTTCGCTTTACGAGCAGGGGCTGTTGGTTTGTCGCTGCGCATTTTTTCTTCATTCGGATATTTTACACACAGCGTATGTCCACTGACTTGTGTTTCATTGTTGCACAGGCCATTCAGTCAGTGTCTGCTCCTGCTCGCACATTTGGCCAGTGCCACTCAGTCTGTGCCAGTGCTCGGCTGTTGACGATTCACTTACACCCCGCAAAATGCAAAGCCGTGTGTGCAAATGTCACATTTCTGACTCTGTCACGACCACAAATGCACCGGCAAATCGACTGCGCGCAGATAAATAAAGCCAACAATCCATCGAAATTCAAAATGGAGCTGTAACAGCACCTGTTTTGATTCATTAGGCCGCATATGCGCCGTATGTGAGCCGAAGCCTACGACAGGCACGGTAGCATTGTCCCGTTTTGTTTTGTTTTTTTTGGTTGTTTTTTTTGTTTGTTGTTTTTTAATCCATGCTCCCATTCACAAATCCTTGTTTACGTGCCTAATGTGGATCCGTTTGGCAAACAGTGGATGTTTTTCATTTTGTATTTTTTCCCCCATTCCATCCCATAGCAAAGACATTATCATTTTGACAGCTGCTACTCCTGTAGGCAGCAACTACCCCACCCCGTGTTTCTTTGAAAGCAGCTTTGCTGACAACTGGTGTTTAATCCCGTGGAAATAGAATTTTAATTACGTGGCTAATCTATTTACAGTTGGTTTTTTGGGCTTTGGACAAGTTCCAGCTAATTTCCATAAGGCGTTGGATCAGGTTTGCCATGAATGAGATGCTTGAATCATGGGAAAGCTCAGTGTTGGGCGACCTTTGGAGGATGCAATAATATGCTAGTGTGATCTGACAAACATGGGGTTAGCTTAGCATGAGGAAGCATGGTCACAATGCCTCGTGTGATTGCTAAAGTTAGTCTGAAAATCACTTAGAAATGATTTAAACGCTGAGAGACTATAGAAAGTGGGTCAGAATACATGATGTTCCCTTTCAGGGAGCAGTAAAGGACTGATGTTGGCTTTAAGGCTGCAGCTAAAGGTTAGGGGTGTTATTGATTAATCTATTAGGTGTTTTCTTAGTCAATAATTTGGTCATGAGAATCAGAAAAACACTCATTATTAGTTCCCAAAGCCCAAGGTTACATCTACATATGTCTCCTTTTGTCCAGTCAACAGTCCGAATCCCAATTAACCCAGTTAATTTACTGTCACAAGAGACAAAGAAAGACAGAAAAGATTCTCATTTTAGGAGCCGAGCTAAAAAGAGAAAACTAGAGATTTTTGTTTATCAGAATTGTTTGTTTTACTATTTGTTTTTTTAGTTGACTTATTGATCGATCGCCTAGTTGTTGCAGCTAATGTGTGCAGATAATATATGCATGGTGGGAGGAGAGCAGATACAAAAAAAACAAAACCCGGAGTTTATTTTATTTTAAATTGCCAAAATAAGTCATTTGTAAATTGAAATTAAATGCTGTCTTTTATAAAAGGCCAATGAATTTGTAGAGTTAATTATTTGCAAAGAGTGTGGCACGTCTGACATGAAACAGCCTTCACGTCCTGTAAAATTAATCATGCTGGAGCAGCCATTCCTCCTAGCCTGCATCATTTGCTGCCAGAGACACCACATGGACGGAAATGGGTTTTATCAGCTGAGTACCACAGTCCCCCTTATTCTCTTCCTCCACTTCTTCTTCTTCTTCTTCTTCTTCTTCTTCTTCTTGCCTTTCCTGTGTGTGCTTGCGTCTGAGGGAGAGGCTAGATGAGATGGGACAGCCAGACACGGGCTCACACTTTCCAAAGTCTGTGGGGTCAATAATCAAAAAAAAGAAAAAGATTTTGGGGGACAGACAACACAGAAGATGGGATTCACAGGACTAAAACGAGACCTGATAGTTATGTGACTGCATTGTCTTTTCTCTCGCTGACATAGATGATCAGTGTATTATTCATGTACTGTATGTGAACTCTAGTGTTTTATGTCATCATGTGGCATATATCAGAGTGAGACAGTTACGCTAATGTGCACATTTCCTCTCGTTTTGATCTTGAGGAACTATCATTGTCGTCCCCCCCGCTCCCTTGCCTCCCCTCCCAAGGGCAAACTGTAATTTTCCCATTCAGCTGAAACATTGGCTGGAGGTCCTTCACTCTCTGCAGTACAGTGGCAACTGTTACCGTCTGTTGTGACTCAGTGAGGTTTGTCGTGGCCAAATGTGCTTATGTGCCCGACCAGAAATGCACAGCCTACTGTGCTCAGCTTCAGATGGAGGATTACAAATGTTTGATGCGGCAGGCCAAACGTGACAATGAGTTACTTGGGGTTTTTTTGTGCAGTTGCAAGCTGTGCAAATGTAAGTGGCACTGAAACGCAGCACATTGAAACTAAATTATCTGTCATTTTGTTGCAAAAAAATGTTTGGCTGAAATAAAAAAAAAACAACAGCACATCAATAGAGTGCAAAGATAGTTCAGCAGATAATTGCAAGACCAGAAGTAAAAGTGCAATGCCCTAAAGCACAAAAGTGACAGTAGATCCTCAAGGATTTAAACGATAAGTTCATATGTTTTCAAGTTTTGGTTGCTTTTGCCCTAGATGTGCTGTGTAGAGATTCATTCCTGATGGGACACAAAAGACAAAGCCTGCAGTCATTGTTCCATCCAACGTTACATTAAGTTCACCTGACGCTAATATAAGACTTCAGCAGTCTGATAGAGTGGGTGTCTTCCAAAGTCATTTTAGCACCAAATTCCTTCATTGTTCCCCCAAACAATGGCTCCTTGTTGAGCTGTGGTGGATGAACAGTGAGACAAAATACGACTGTGAGTGTACAGGCTGTATTCATCAGGGACTGCATGCATTTAAACCGTGCAGGGGACTTCGTTGGTGGGTGTTTTTAAGATACTGTTGAGACAATGAAGTGCAATCCAGGAAGTCCAATTGGAGTATCTGATTAACAAGTTTTAAAAGCTTATCAGTTGGATTTTTACAAATCGAGGTGAACAGAAGCAGTGTGGTGTTCATGCTACAAGCATCCTGCTGAAATTTATTGCATTGTATTGCAAGAATAACATGGCAATCCATGCAATAGCTGTAGAGAAACTGCAGCCAAAGATACAAATGTCAACATCACAGGGGACCTATAGAGGAAAAGTTGGAACACAGGAGGAATCATTCTCTGGGGACAACAAATGCTAGAAATGGTAGGGAATCATCAGA